ACTATTAGTCAATTGTCCTATTAAGCTGATTCTTCGTATATAACGATAGGGTAATATAATTAGCGATTAGTTCGCTAGTGATCGCTGATTCGTCCTACTTAATTAGGTAAATGCCTAATTTTAGATTCAATTTGCAGATAGGTATTCCGTCTTCTTCTTCTAGTAGATTCTTTCTACCGTTTAGATAGATTCCTACGCTAGTAGTACGTTCTACAGAGATTAGGTTAATATAGAATCTAGGGTAGTAAGCAACTTGCTTCAAGGGAAAAGCGGTGCCGTCAAGAGACTTTGTTAGGGTGACTTTAAGGTCTCCGTAGCCGAGGATAGTAGTTTCGGTATTTCTAACTATGACTAAGGACACGATAGACCTATAGTTTTATAGTAGAGATCTGTTATTCGTGATATGAATTAAGGCTCCGGTATTATAGCACTAGGCATTACTTCGCTTAGCAGGGATCCTGATTGTGCTTATAGCTAACCGGTTATCTTCTCGAAAGAGAGTTTTAGCTTCCTTCTTCGGAATATAGGCTGAAAATATATCTCGATCTCTAGCTAGATCTTAATCTCTAGCTAGATCTTGATCTCTAGCTAGATCTTTATCTCTAGCTAGATCTGATTTATTAGAGTCGTTTAATTAATATCTCTTAATCGTATAATTATATACGGTTTTAAAGGTATATAACGATTCGTATAGGTCTTTAAAGATCTTCTCGATTACCTGATCTAGCTTCTAACCCTTTAGTCTAACCTTCGGGTTAATATATCGGTACTTATCGAATTTATGCTTAAATCCGTAAGGGCAATTTCGATTAGTAGGCGGCTTTATAATATTCGACTTATCCTCTATATCTCGTCCCTAATAGGTAGGATAGGTAATTAGTCGCCTAGCAGAAGAGCTAATTGGCCGGTATTAGTTAATAAATAGGTTAACTAATTCTATCAGGGTAGGCTTCTTTAAGCCCTAGAGGATTGTATTATACTAAAAGGTATAGAAACCTTAATCGCTAAGTTAAATCGTCTCTAAGAAATCATATACTAGAGATAGTAGGTCTTTAAAGTAGGTAATTCCGGCTTTCTCGCCTTCTAATTAGCTAATAATCTACTTCTATCCCTATATAGCAAGATAAGACGATTTAGTTAGTAGCGTTTAGCGTTTAATTCTATCCTAATTATATTAGATTTATCGGTTCTTTAATTAGTCAGATAGTACGAATATAGCTCGAAGTTTGATAATAGCTTTATATACTAATAGGCTATTAACAATCTACCGTCCTTCTAATATAAGAGATAATCGAATACCTTGTTTAAGAGATTCGATAGATCGAAGGTAGCGAAGATAGTCTGATCTTGATGATTTATACTCACTTAGCAATATCCTATAGATAGCTAATTAGTCGGATATAAGATTAATTAGTCGTGTAGGAACGTTAGTAGGATCTTTAGTAAGATTAGCGAATTAAGGTTTTATAGGTTCTTGCGGCGGGGTAGCAGGATCGGATTAGTCTAGATTAATATACTTCTATACACTATTCGCTAGTACGTAGTCTTTAATAGCGGTGATCTAGGGTACCTAGTATACGTAGGTTTTAAGTAGGTAATTGAGCTAGGTAGCTCGTAGATCGGGTAAATCTATCACTTTTAAGACGAAAGTGAGAGATAGATAAGATAAAAGTAAGATAAGGAAAGATTGATTAACTAGTTAGAGGCCTTAGCAGAAGCTCGGGCTTATAACTAATAGATTTTAAATAGTAATTATAAAATCCGATTGCATACAAAAGGATATGTGTGTTATAAGCAGGTGAAGAAAGACTATTATGAGAGAAATAGAGGTCGGCTAATTAGACTAAAAGAAGAGTATGATTAGGTATGCTAAAGAAATCTACTCATGAATCAAAAGAGATGTCAAACTTGTTCTATTTAGATAGGAAAACAGACAGAATTTATAATATAAGGTACATAGTAAATATCACGTGAAGGAATCAAGAATATCCGAGGTTATCTTGGAGTGTTGAGCAGTCTCCGGCTAATATAGGCAGTTCAATGCGAGATCGTTGAGGATCAATATAAATCAATGTGGTAGATATGGAGGTGTTTCTTCCGGGGAAAAGATGGCGGCGGCTTAGTCATCTGCGGGAAGATCCCACATAAGTTGACAGATACTAAATTTTTCAGTATATATATACTTAATATATTAATTCCTAATTGTAGGATATAGAGTATATTAGTTAATTTATAGACTAGATTATTATTCGTCTAGAAGATAATATCTCTAGCAAGATCGATAGATAATCTTTGTGTATTTCCCTATATAATAGTTTTATTAGTTTTATATACACTATCAAACAAATCTAATTTAGATACTATATATATAGTAGCAGCTATATTAATAATAAAAATCACTTTTATAGTAGAAAGATCTAAATTTATTAGATTATATATACTTTCTATAGTGATATTAGAATTAGTTTCTTAGTTTGTTTTGATAGGTAGATAAATTACCTAATCGGTTTTATACGAGAAGTTATCGTAGAGTAAGAGACTTCTTAGTGTATTCACTATAGATTTATTACTTAGATTTAAGTAGTCTCTTATTAGGTTTTGATTATCAAAAATTAGTAGGCTATACCTAATTAGCTATACCTCTATTATAGGTATATCATAGTTAATTCGACTAATCGGTGTATAATAGATATCACTGTTAAGATTAATTAGATTACTAGCTAATAGGCTAGTAGGTAGTAGGTTACTAGCCGAAGTTTCTTGATTTTCACCTTCTACGGGGTAATTAGTCACATAACTAGTAATATAGATTTCTTCCTCGTTAGATTGCTTATTCTTATTAAGTATCGCTATAATTATCCTCTTTTATTTATTAATCTTTTAATAATCGATTTAATTAGATCTAGGCTAATTTACCCTAGATATCTAATTAGCTAGTCTGCTAGAAGGATATAGATACTAGCAATCTACTACTATATAGCTTCGTATATTATAATACGTATAGTATTTGCTAGAATTTAATAGTTTTTTCTATAGGTTTTTGCTAATTCGACGATTTTGATTAGCCTAACGATTTAAACAGTGATTTACCTAATATTTAGGCTTGCGATTAGCCTAATATTTGCTTTAATAATTAATTTAACAATTACTTTAACGATTACTTTAACTATTAGCTATAAAGATTTGCTCGCTTATTTATATATAACTACGCGATTCGTTAATTAGATTAGCGAATAGCGATTTAATCGAATAGGAATTAGAATCTCTACGAAGAGATTAAATGATATTTTAAACAATCGGTATATAACTTTAATCGAGATTATTCAAGACCTATACGAAGACGATTTACTTAGGAAATCGATTCCTAGGCTTACTAATTCGATTAGCAGGCGCCTTATCTTAGTAAGATAGTTATATATACTATCGAAATCGCCTAATTAGCTGTTGAATAGGCTCTTTAATATAAGGAATTCGGTAGTAAATCCTTTTAGTCGATATTAAGTAGCTAAGGTAATCTATACTTAGTAGGCCGATATAGTATCTCCTAGCTAAAAAAGTAGGCTATCTTTATATAATAGCTTAATTAATAATAGAGCGTCTCGATTAATCTAATTAATAGTTTTGAATTTATTAGATAGAATAACTAGCTTATTTTAGCCTATCTTAGAGATAGTAGGGCTAGTAGATCTTCTAGGTCTACTAGATCTTCTTCCTAACTAAATCTTAGTATTTCTATAATTAGGCGATCTTTAATTAGGTAGTAGAGTAATTACTTTTTTATAAGACTAGTATTAATTAGGAATCTAGCCTTACTAAATAGTAGGAAGCTTTATATAATTATATTAGATTATATTAATAAGTCTCTCTTGATTAAGAATCGCCTTAATTCGGATAGACTAGGTAATATAATTTCCTTCTCCTTTAAGAGGATCGATATTATATTTGTTAATTATCTTGAGTTCCAAAAACTTGATTGAATATTTAAAAAATAATTGTTTTTGTCAAGAAAGTCGAGATTTCTTAGTATTTCGTATAGAGAAGTAGACGCGACTAGTAAAAATCGAGTATAAATTTTTGAAAATAAGAAGTTAGAGGAGCTTTTTGTTTCTCTTTAAGAGAGAGAAGTTTCTCTTAAAAGTAAGGGATTCTTCGTTGAAGATAGAAGATTGAAGAAGTGGTATAAGCCGAATTAAAGTAGGATCAATTCGGGCTTATAACCTGTGAGCAAGCAATACTACGCAGGTTAGGTAGAGAGGAAGTAAGATTAATTAATCTTCTTCCTTTAATTGAATAGGAAGGATAAAATCAATTCGGCTTAGAATTATAAAGATAAGAGAAAAGTAAAGTAGGACTAAAGCTTGGTTAATTATATTGAATCTTTCTTGTATATATTATCATTATTATTTTGGTAGAGAATACAGGGCATATTTATAACCAACTTGTCTCTTGTATGTGATCGTTCTAGGTGATGTATAATGATCTTATATAGACAGATCTAGATATATAGTGATCTTATATAGTAGCTGTTTGATCGGTGGTTGCTTAATTATACGATGTTATTGACTGTAGTGATGATATAGATCGTATACTATTGTATACGTCTTACTTGATGTTATTAACCGTAGTGATGATGTAGATCGTATACTGTTGTATACGTCTTACTTGATGTCATTGACCGCAGTGATGATGGTATAGCATAAAGCTTATAGAGATTTAGCCATCTTGTATAGGCCTTATGAATCTGGCTTGATATGCTGCATGACGGTTTAGGCATCTTGCCCTATATCTCACAACCTTTAAGAGAGTTAAAGGAGAGGAGGTCCTAATATCCGTAGAATAGCTTCCTCGCTTATATATCTAGGATAGTTATAACGAGCTTCTATTACTACTTAATCTAGCTCTAGACGATATACCCGTTTTTCGGTAGACTAAGCGAAACTTATAAGGAATCGGGATTTCGACCGATAAATATTTACCTTACTTAACTCTACTTCCCTAGGTTAAAAGTATTAGTACTATTACTAGCTTCCGATAAGTTACCCGTCCTTATAGCCTTCGATACGGGGCTAGGAAGGCGTTAGATAATAGTAGTAATTATATTCCTACGTAATCCTTATATAAATTCTCGGGACTAACTACCTATATATTAGGAGCTATAAGTAACTCACTTCGTAATCTAATTATATACTACGCCGATACTCGCACTTTTCTGAAGTATTACCTCGATCGACGGATAGATAAGAATATTCCTACTATTATCCGAGGTCTAAATCTAGATAACGATATTATATATATAGCTTATTGAATAAGCCGGACTATTAACCCTAACTGCCTATAAGAATTAACGACCGCCTAAGCCTCCTTAGTTAATAAATAGCCTAAAATTGCTATCCTTATCTAGTATCGCGATATACTTCGCTAATAACTAGGCCGTCTACTCTTATAGTACTAGGGAAGTCCGAAATACAAAAGCTATTAAAATGTGAGATATAGGGCAAGATGCCTAAACCGTCATGCAGTATATCAAGCCAGATTCATAAGGCCTATACAGGATGGCTGAATCTCTATAAGCTTTATGCTATACCATCATCACTACGGTTAATGACATCAAGTAAGACGTATACAACAGTATACGATCTACATCATCACTGCGGTAAATGACATCAAGTAAGACGTATACAACAGTATACGATCTACATCATCACTGCGGTCAATGACATCGTACAATCAAGCAACCACCGATTAAACAGCTACTGCATGAGATCACTATGCATCTAGATCTGTCTGCATGAGATCATCATGCATCATCTAGAACGATCACATGCAAGAGACAAGTTGATTATAAATATGCCCTGCATTCTCTACCAAAATAAAAAATCATGTTAATCATAAGACATACAAGCAAGATTCAATACAATCAACCAAGCTTCAGTCCTACCTCACTCTTCTCTTATTTTTATCTTTATAATTCTAAGCCGAATTGATTTTATCCTTCCTATTCAATCAAGAGGAAGAAAGATCAATCGATCTTATTTAATCATCTTTAATTTATCTTCCTCTTTACCAACCTGCGCAGCATCGCTTGCTCACATAAAAGCTAAACTAGGAGATTTATAGTATAAGGGAACAGGCTAGAAGTATATTACTATCGTAGCTTTAGTAGAAATATAATCAAGAGCAGCCTATATTAGAAGTATAGCGGTAGCTTTCCGAGACAAAACTAGCTAAATCGGTGACGGTAAAACTACGATACACGGAGGAGCTACCCGAGCCTTAGAAATATTTGATTAAGCGTCTTTTAACTCTCCTATCGCCGATATTAGACTAAGAAATATATCGACGTACTAAAGCTATTAATGCTATTACTGCTTACTGTTAATTTGAGGAAGGTATTACATACCGTTTGCCACAGAATAAAAGAGTTAAAAGCTATATAGCCGAGAGCGGTTACGTCGATAATCAGAAGCCAGAAAGCGAAACGACTAAGGTCTAGACTAAATCGGCAAGCCTACTCGAAAATGCTATTCGATCTGTCACAAACGACCATCGACCCTTGTTTTGTTTTATATATATAGGACAGCAAAACCTAGCCCTCAAGAAGCGGGTACAACAATTCTCATCGTATAGAGATGTTTCGAAACATATCAAGCGAAAGTATTTACAGAACCTTGCGTCAAGCACTGTTATTGCATGTAATGTTTGCGATACAAAGTTTGCGGAAGTCATGCACTTTCAGCGGCATGCTAGTGATTCTCACTCGACTGTGACGGGACCTCTATAGAGCACAGCCTCCCAGTAATGACTCATTTTGTTGGCTTTAATGCATAAACTTTATTAGATCTTTGAATTCACCTTCATACGACCGGTTTTAAATGTACCGAAGTAACAGTAGCAGCAGCAGGAGGAGGAAGATCTAGCCACCTATACTTTTCGAATCTTATCGCAGAACGCGATGTTCTGCGGTGACTGTGGCGAGGAGAGAACTTCGATTAACCAGATGACATCATTGTTTATAATTTGGCAACAAGGAAAGAACTGGGCCTATCTTTCTTGTTGGACTACCCGCTTCGCTGCTGAGGGCCAGGGTGGAGCAAGATGTTATGGCACCAATCCGTGTGAGGCTTAGTGCCGCAGTCCATCACGTGACGACACGGTATATGCTATATAAGATGGGTGTCGACTTAGTGTGTTTCGAGGCCTAGATATCGAAGCAGGCGATTTTAATCTAGTGATACGGCATTCCCTCTCCTAGGATGGGCCAGTGCTTCTTCACTTGAAGATAATTGATTTATCGCGAGCACATCAAGCTCAACGTCTTCTGTATCCTTATGAGATTTTAAACGAGTCACGAGGTCTTCGGAGAATTCATCACTGTAATACCTTAGTGCTGTGATATGTATGCATCACTCTGAAAAGTTTGCACCTACGAAAAGCCACTGAAACTCTCAAAGTTCTCTAGACTCTCGCCTCCGTTGCCTCTGACGAATTCTTTGATCCCGCGAAAGAGACAGTTAATTCGTAATTTTAGAGTCTGCCGGATTGGAAGACAACATATTGACATTTTCGGGTGCTACGCCTTCGTAGCATTCAACCTGTCGGGAAATCGAATCGGTTAGATGAGTTGAAAGGACACGGTTTTAAAAGGTGCCAACTTAGAATCCAACGTCGATTTATCATGCAAATCCAACAGTTACATACGTGACGTGTTATGCTATGAAAACCGGAGATAAAACCGAAGTGCAGGGCAGACCCGGTTTTAACTCTGGGCTAACCATCCCGCAGACCTGGGCCTTTCACTTTACACTGAATCCGCAATTCAACGGCTAGAGTACACCAAATTTTGGGAGCAGGTACGGAGTGGATTGCGTCCAAGATGAGGACCTGAAAGAGCAATGTGGCAACTGATTGACTTTTAACAATACCCACTTTGTTAATTCCGAGATTCTCATCCACGGACCACGTAGCGCCGCAAAGCCCGGATAATCCCCGTGCCAAATTTGCGTAACTGCTCACCCGCAGCCAATTGGAAGACATCTTTAACTTAACCCTCACCAAAGACAGGATTAGACCCGTTGGTGTCTGTTGCAACACGTCATCACCTTCGGACATACAGGCTTGCTAGGTGAACTGGCTGTTACGGTAGGGCAACCCTTCTAAAGGTATAAATGGCATGTCAGCCTCAGCCAGCGTTGGGTCTTGAAGATTTACATACCATTCCCTCTTCATAATCAACAAAATGCCTACTATGAGCAGCATGAAAGTCGTTCTTGGGACCATGACTATCGGCAGGCCGGGTTAGCTTTATATTTCCTGCATTGAATCTTCCATCTTCAAAATAAACTAATAGTGTTCTTCCAGGCCTTGAGGGTGCTCGAGTCCACACTCTGGACGACCTATCCGCAATGCTTGATCTTTTCCAAGGACACGGCCATTCGGAAGTCGATACCTCGCGTGTCTACACAGCAGGCTCATCAGAGGAGTACCTCGGCAACTCTCACTGGCAAAGTCGCGGTCTAAAGATGCAGACAAAGGTCTATCCAACAGCAGGGAAGGATTTGGACAGCCTCACCCCCGAAGAATATACACATTCACCGGAGGATGTACGGAGAAGTCTGATGAGCAGTCTCAATGCGCTCAAGGCTGATAAAATTGACATCTTTTATCTGCACGCGCCCGATCGAAATATTCCATTCGAAGTCACTCTACGCGAGGTAAATCAACTCTACCAGGAAGGCCGCTTTGCCCGCTTCGGAATCAGCAACTTTATGTCTTGGGAAGTCGCTGAGATCTGCGAAATATGTTCCAACCACAACTGGGTGAAGCCTAGTGTCTACCAGGGAATATACAATGCCCTGCATCGCGCTATCGAGCCTGAACTCATCCCTTGTCTCCGTCGCTATGGTATCTCCCTGTATGCGTTCCAGCCACTGGCAGGTGGATTTCTCACCGATAGGTACCAGCGTGATACGAAGGAATTTGTTGAGGGTTCACGATTTGACCCCAAGCGGTGGCAAGGACGGGCGCAGCAGGGGCGGTATTGGAATGAAGCATACTTCGATGCTTTAGATATTATACGTCCTGTGGCGAAGAGGCACGGGCTCACAGAGTCAGAGTGCGCTTTCAGGTGGCTATCCCATCATTGTGGGTTGAAGAAGGAGCTAGGCGATGCCATCCTGGTTGGCGCCAGCAGTTTGGCCCAGCTTGAGGCAAATCTGGTGGAGTTGGAAAAGGGGCCGCTGCCAGAGGAGGTTGTGCAAGCACTAGATGATGGATGGCTGCAGGTCAGGGGAGGTGTCTTCAAGTACTGGCACTAAGGCGAAACAATATGAAAATAAAACATGCTTTCATCAAGTCTGCCATATTGCTGAAGACCTTTTTTATTAAAAAAAAATGAGGTCATTCCATAAAACAGCCCGGGATAATTGCTGGCTTGTAGGCCATGCGGTTCAAAGAAGCAGCGCATCACATGAAAAATTGCATATTGTCATTTAAAAAGGGAAATTAGCTATCATACTTGAAAGCTATTTTCGTAACTATCAAAACCTAGTCATTTGAGGAACCTCCTTTTCGGAATTTTGTTCGCAGCCCCGAGTGAAATTTGCTGAATTTTCCGTTCCTCCGGTTCTTCGACATCTTCAGTAATCTTGGTTGTCTATGACTCGATTCTCATCGAAATGAATGTACATGTGGGTCGATTTGCACTCAGACAGATTTCATCATACCATAACTCCACTATGGCCACACCAATGCAACCTGCTTACGCGCTAGAGATTAGCGTTCCGAAGATTGTTCAAGCTCTAATCGATACCGACCTGGTAATTATCCATAATATTGTCGGTCTAGTCATATCCGGTTACCCGATTAATAGGCCTGTAATACGGTACATGCCCATTCCTATCTGAGTACGTAGAGTTATATGCATCAAGGAATGAGTCAAAATGAAGTCTCCTTGATCCATATGGACGGTATCTGCATATTCTTAACGTGTGTGATACTGGCCAAAGTATTAATTTCCGGACAAGATTGTATATCTACAAGTCTGGGAACCGTTCAATTGAATATATTGCATTGAACCGATCTACATACGACGAGTCAATCAGATAATGAGATGGAGTTTCCTCATTGTCTACGTAATAATGGCACAAACTCTCGTCCTAAAACAGGCGTCTTCAATCCTTCCGTGGCCATCCATTCAATACCATAGTCAACATTTCTCCACCTTCGAGCTCCCTCTTTCTGGCCTTCAACTCTTCCACGTCCCAATTACTCCAGATAACTTTCCCCTTCAGGAAAGCCGCCTCGGGACTAGCAGCCCACACCATGAAATGACCTGGCAAGTCGAGGTTATCAAATGGGATAGAATTATCACTCCCCAGCCCCCTTTCGCAGACTTGACATTCATATCCGTTGCTAGATAACCCGGATGCACATTCATGACACGAATATCCGGGTTTTCCGCCTGCACCGCCTCAAAAAATTTCAGCGCCGCGGTCTTGCTCGTCTGATAACCTGAATAGTTAACCATTGAGGGGAGATGGACGGCGCCGGTGGTGACGTGGATAAGCACCGCATTAGATGGCGCGGCGGTTGCGAGAAATGCTTGCGTAGTGACAAGATTGCCCACGACATTGGTGGTCAATCCCTGCGCGAAGTCGGACACGATCATGTCCTTGATTTGCACCGTGTCGGGCAGGAACGCTGCGTTCGAGACGAAGATATCAATGGGCCCGAACGTTGCTCTGGTGCCGTGGAAGGCAGCGTTGACAGCAGAGACATCGGTGATGTCCGCCACAAAAATCAGGACCTTCAGCCCGCTATGTGTAGATTCGAGAGTTGACTTGGTCTTCAGAAGCGTTGAATTGGTCCGTCCGAGAAGGACAATCTGCTTGCTTCCCGCAACTGCAAATGCTTCAGCAATGCGAGGCCCAATTCCAGATCCTCCGCCAGTGATGAGAATGGTCTTGCCGGCCGCGCTCACAGCTGGTCGGCGGGGATCAATCCCTGCGTAGGGGGCGGTATGGTGTTCTTGAGTGAAGGGTGGGAATCCCATCTTGAGCCGCTCGCAATGAAATTTTGTTTGGCTTAATGTAAATGGTCAGATGTCGAACCATAACTTGACACTTCGCTTTTATACCTGAAAACCCAGCAGCACTTGACCTTTCGATCTAAACTGAATCAAGGAGATAATCCTTTATAACCGTATTATCTCCGTATATATCCATCTTCTAATAGTCGATGACGAAACTTTACGATCCACAATTTTCTTACGTCAAGACCCTTCCTTGCCAAGCATTCTTTCTCTTTGCCTCTGACTAAGCTCATCTGGGTCGAATTAGTTAGTTAACTACGGAGTAGTTAACGTAATTCCCAGCCGATCTGGACACCCGGCCGTCCTGGACACCCCAAAACATCATACAAAATACAATTTCTTAGGTCACAGTATATCAACAACGAGAAGATGGTTTTGTTCGATTTTTTGTAGTATCGCATTTCTGAGCTTTAGAAATAGCATGGCATAACTAAGGTATGCGAAAAATTATTATTTACTCACATTACCAAAAATACGCTCTGGTCTACTGATGCCGATATATATCTTAATGGTGTGAAGCCTTAAAATTCTTACTAACCTGATAAATATCTTTAGAGAGACATCTAGTGATAGGATAAACTTAGACCTAATGCTAAGCCTTCAGTGTTGAAAAATCAAGTCGTAAAATATCGCATTTACTATGGTGTTTTGGGTGTCCAGGACGGCCGGGTGTCCAGATCGGCTGGGAATTACGTTAACTAGTTATCTGTAGCTTTCTGCCTACCCACAACGCTACAGATAACGTTTACCTGAGTGTCTCGGACCACAAGCTCCGCTCATGGCACACCGGTCGCAGCCCATCAAACTTTAACCGTGCTCAAGATAACACTCCCACACGCGCGATCGCTCTGAGACAGGAAGAACCTCACTCTCGCGGGGCTGAGTGCGAAACTTTTGTCGAGTCAGAGCCAGCCTCACTCTAGTTATGTAGATATTGTCTTAAACAGGGAAGTTTGGTCAAACATCAGTTGTTGTTCATTTATCAATCTCGCCGGCCATGTCCTAGCTCCTCCAAAATTTGGCCTGGAGTGGTCAGTTCCTGAGTATCTGATAGGGAAAGCCTGACTTACTCGCGATTGTCCATCGCTTACTCGCTCGTTCTAACGATTCAATGATCGGTTGTACTGTCCCAATGCTGAGACCAAAATAGTTCTCAAGCCAAATAGCCGTGAGCCCTATCTTCTCGAGCAAGAGAACAGCCGCCAAGGGCATTCTCTGCACGTCGAGAATATCGTCCATGGCGGTAATGTCACGGGTGATGCTCATCACCATTTCAATGGCCGCTATGGATGACTCTCGGGTAGAGCACAACCTATTTCTGGATGTATCTGAGCACATCAGCCTCTTCTTATGCAGCTCAATATGAGCTCTATATTCGTTAGTAAGCGAAAAATGAAATAGCTCCTGGCAAACTCACAAAAGAAAGATAATGATCGCTCTATATAGACGCTCGGAATCCTTTGCAGGAGTGCCCAGTATGCCCAGTATTGTTCGTCGGATCAAAGATTCTAGTTCCCATAGATTGCGCTCTGATATTCCCCTGTTTGGACTAGAATAAATTCTAGTTGATTCTAAAACTGTCTCCAGAAAGTAGACAGCTTGAACCTGACTCGCAAAACCTATAGTGGCTGTTCCTATCGATTCAGACAGAGGAGTAACTTCCGGGGCCCATGGACCGACATCGTCCCCAAGCCGGGGTCTCTGGACTAGGAATGTCCGTTCATGCATCTCGTCAAAATGGTAGAACAGCCTGTCGAGGTACTGTAGTAGATCGCCCACCAAACGCGCTTTCTCTCTTCTTCGAAAATAGAGACAGTCTGGTGAAACCCATGCAACCGAAGAGCAAAACTCAAACTGGCACAAGTAGAGAGTGTTATATATGGATCGTGGCTGAAACCATTACCTTGCTCTTATATGGCCAGTAGAAGCCCCGACTGTATAGTGGCTAATTGATCTCGTCGATACGTCTGCAAGACTGAGAACAGGTACCTGCATGTCTCATACAAGGACTGGAGTTCAGTAGACTGGTGCAGTGGTGAGACTGTCGGTAGATTTGCCAGCAAAATGTGAAGAATAACTGACGCAAACTCGGCGCGAGGTGTATCTCGCAACGATGCAGCTCTCTGTGCCAAAAGGATGGGGTGTATAATAGGTAGCCATTGATGCGTACACCGCTCATAACAACCGACCACATCCTCTAATTGGAGATGCGACCTTGCCAAGACTTCGAACAGGTAGGAAGTTAGACAAGTGTCAATGCTTTCATTTAGAGATATGTTGATTATGGGCTTATGAAGGTGATAGTCTGACCCCTCAATACCTGGATTTTGTCGACCAGGAGCATAGAAGCTATTCACGGGCTGCAGAATGTGACTGCTAGTATTTTGCGAGGCGACAAAGCAGCTATACTGACATGTCCCGTTGTTCCTTTAACAAGTTAGTAAGGTAACCCGAAAAATAAAGCCTGACGCAATTACCTGGCACATGTACTGTACTGCAGACCGGTATTAGCCTGTCACATTTACGTTTTCGCAGGGCACACAAAAAGCAAGCATTTGAAGCAATGCTGCTTGTTCGCATGTTAACCGGAATGGCTTGAGAACGGCTGTGGAGCCCAGAAACATGTAATCTAATTTCGACAAAAACGGGATCTTGAAATCGTCAAAGCGCTGGAGGCAAAATTTGAAAGCGGTGAAAGCTATCACGCAGTACTCAGCTCTGACGCTAGTCCGCTAGCGCCGGACTAGCGTCAGAGTGTGGATGATTTATTACACTTTTCAGTGAGAATCACTAAAACATGTTGGAACAACCATCAAAGCAGCGTTCTTGGGCTTTGGCGACTGAACTATGTACAGCCAAGTAAACAATCAGAAATTTCTGGCCTGACTTCTGCAATACCACGCATAGCTCCAAACGCTAAACCACCAGTGGCCACCGCACCGATTCCAATTAGAACCCGTGCGATGTATTCGAAAAAGTCTGAAGTATCGTTCGGGCGTGGATCGGGTTTTTTAACAGTCTGCAATATCGAGCAAAGGAGTGCATCATTCGACTGTCCGTAGCAATGATCGCGGTTACACTAAGTGGCATATTTTTCCTATATTGTGTCCATCTAAGTGGCCTATTTATCATTGTCATAGACTACGCGGGTGCGGCCTGGTGGTACTGGTGGCTGGTTGGGCAGATGACTGAAGGCCGAGCAAGAGTGCGACACATTTTATACTGTGTCTCGGCGATGGTGTTGCTCTTACTGATTATTGCCATCATGGGTACTGCTTGGAAATCATGGGTGATCGCGCTTGATGTATGTCATGCTTGCTTTAGGTCGTTGTTCAGGGAATTCTGACATGAGCAAGGTTCAGTTGTGTATTATCATCATCTGGGCAACATTCCTGCAAACGGCTTCACGATATTCGCCCGATGACAGCATTTGAAAGGGCCGGATGTGGCATCGCTATAACTAGCTGCAGCAACCATCGTAGTTATGTTGGAAGCTGAAATTCTGGTAAATTGTCGGGTGCTATTATCACGAGCCAATAGGACCGTCGAATACTGTGTTCTCCATGTATCTCTTGGATTAGCGAAGATCTTCTTTGTGCTTTTATCTCGTAAAACCAACCTTTTTCATTTAAATGTCGTCCAAACATGTTCGAGCAATGAGTCTTTTCTTGGTTCTAGGCGGCTTTCATATAGCCCAAGGGTTGGAATTATGGAGAGTGAATGACGCTACACAGCTAATATCTCGCGGAGGTTTTAGCCCCCGTGGGAGCGAATGATAGTGGGACAGCTAGCAGGGTATGCGACTTCTTGTCAATAGAAAGGTAGCTACTGCGTTTCATCATATACTAACAATTTGGTCTTGATATCTGGATAGATAATGAGATTGTGATAAAAAATAGAAGCAAAATATAGGTTGGTAATATAGCAAGAGAAAGTAAACTTAGGTGCTTTCAGCAAATTCAAACCAGAAATAATTATCTTCAACAATAAAACGTCCCCGGAGATGGCTGAAATCCTATCTTGGCTCGCCCACGCGGTTCATGTTTCCTTAATTGCCTGAGCCTCCGGAGGAGTGTCTCCCTAAAAAACCGGTACTATTTGACTGCGATTGGGCTTTAGCAACAGAGTTCTGCCTTTTCCGACTGGGTTGTTTAGTCGTGGGGCTAGTTTGCCCTCGAACTTCTTCCCTTAGCTCTTGATTAGTAGTAACATATAATCTCTGCGAGCCCGTAAGCGGAACGACGGAGGTCAAAATAAAGGCATCACTTTCCAAGCAATACAATCTAGGGAAAATAACAAAAAGGTGATCGTTTTAATGCTCTACGCTGATTAGATCTTCACCACCTACCGGAAACTAGAATAGAAAATCCTTATTATAGGCCTAATCGGCAGGATCAAATCCTGTCTTATATTTCTTTGTGGAATTCTAGATAGGACTCTAGACCTCGATTGCCCTATCAACAACATTCTTTATCCTCTCTCTAAGCTTACTATACTAGGTAGTCGAGAGAAGCTTATAGAGATAGTTAGATATAGTTTGAATAATAGATGTCAACTTATGTGGGATCTCCCCGTATGATGACTAAGCCACCACTATTTTTTCCCCGGAAGAAAAACCATGTCCACCACATTGATTTATACTGATCCTCAACGATCTCGCATTGAACTGCCTATATTGGCTGGAGACTACTCAACACTCCAAGATAACCTCGGATGTTCTTGATTTCTTCATGTGATATTTACTACGTACCTCGTGTTATAAATTCTGCCTGTTTTCCTATCTAAATTGAACAAGTTTGACATCTCTTTTATCTCAGGAAGAATTACCGGGCATAGTAGACCATCTGAATCAACCTTCTACTGCTTGATTCTTCTGTCTGATCAGCCGATTGTGATCTATCCTGTTTCGTCTCTCTTCTATAATCGTGGCACTAAGATTAGTGCACACGATCGATTTCTACCACGGTTTTATGTACTATACGCAATTCCAACAGTTATGAGCCCGAGCCTCTGCTAAGGACTCTATTCTTTACTTTCATCTTATCTATCTTTCACTTTCGTCTTAGAAGTAATGGATTTATCCGATCTGCGAGCTACCTGGCTTAATTACCCTCTTAAATACCACGTACATTAGGTCCCTTAGATCACTGTAGTCAAAGATTATGTACTAGTAAATAGTATATAGAAATACGTTGATCTAGACCTACCTGCTCCTGCTATACCGCTATAGGAACTAACTAAGCTATATCTATCTGATATAATCAAAAAACCTGCTAATACCTTTATATCTGATCTTCCTGATAAGCTAATCAGACTTATTGATCTTATATCCGATTAATTAGCTATCTATAGGATCCTACTTAGCGAATATAAGTTAGTAAGATCTGACTACCTACGTTATATACGATCTATCGAGATCTTGAAGCAAGGAATTAGATCCTCTCTTACGCTAGAAGGGAGACAGATTGTTAATAGCTTGATTGTAAAGATAGGGTCTACTTGCAGGGTAGAAAGCCTGTCAACTAGGTAGGAGAGCAAAGCACTAAGTCAAATTGTAACAGAGACTGTTTCTTGGGGGGCCTTCTTTCCTGTCCCCCTACTGCTCTTATATACAGTAAACCCTACCACGAGAGGGGTAACCACGTTGGCTTGCATGAGCTGTATGCGTATCGGCGGATGACTCTCCTCCGTGGAAACAGCGGTGAGAGGGCAGGGATAGGCCACCGAAGTGGTGCGCCCTAGTCGATCTCTATAGCTGATCTCCCACGGTGGCCTGAATCCTAAGGCCGAAAAGTGCGAATAGCCTCATAGTAGGAAATGTCATAACAATTATCCCCCCTCTAATTTCGCTTGCCCTAAGCGAAGAAATACAGTGTAAACAAAGGTGTAAGCAAATATATAAGCAAACAGGCAAACTAGTAGAAAAAGGTGGTGAGATCTGAAGGGCAAACAAAGATTCGCTATAGCGACTAGGGTAAATAAAGAGCACCTTCCTTCTTTGTTAGTATCATCCTCCCTCTCTCTTTTCCCTCGCTACCCTTCTTCTTCTTCCTATACCTCCCACTCTTTTCGAGCGCGTTTTCTCTATCTATCCTACATCGAAGACTCATCGAAACGCCCTTGATATTATCTCGAAACCCTACGCTATTCGTTCCTACGTACAGACCGCGAGTTTCCTCACTGTTTACCTATCGAAACCTCACTAAATACGTTGCGATACCTCGCCGAAGCGCGCCTCGGACTCGGGCGACTTATACGGTTACCTAGAGACC